ATACATATACATATACATATACATATACATATATGTATTATATCTAACTCACGATAGACATGTGCAAATATCTTCCCATTGCACATCATATTCAACATGCGCTGTACACGCACAACCCACCTGCAAGACATGTGCGTGTCTGCGCATCCGTTGCTCTGTAAAGTCCAGTCCATGCAAGGCCCGCATGTGGGCTTCAAAGTGCATCAGTGCACGACCATACGCTCCGCATTTGAACGCGGCATGCGCCATAGTCAGCTGTGAGATGGTCGAGAGAGTCTTCAGCACCTCCTCTCGTTTGTCACTCATGGCGTTGCGGTTGCTGCAGTGGCCTTTGCTGCGTGATGGGGTTTTGGACCGGTCATTGGGTGCACCCTGTGGGAGGTAAGAGGACAGATGACAGGACGGGGCATGAAAGAAAAGTACTGGCAGCCAGCCCTGGGATATTTTAGCATCTCACGCATTACTGCGTGATGGGTTTTGTTCCGGTCGTGTATGTCACCCTGCGTATCTAAACCCCTACCCTAAAACCCTAACACTCCAAAACGACAGACCCCTAAAACATGCCACATCAGTCCTGACCATTGACATTGACAGGCGTTCGAGGTATTGTCTGAGTATAAATTATAGTTCGATATAGCTACATGAAGAAGTAGCACGGGGAAACAAACACTTTGTTTCGTCCTCCTTCTGGACCATGGGCTGTAACTGACCCATGATTCCAAACAGTCTATCCATGCTAACTTCATTGAGTAGATGCAACCCCTAAACATCAAAACAAAATCTATTTCTATGGCTGGAATATAAAGCACTATCCATACAATAAATTTGGAACATATATACACGTACAAACCAGTTACCACTCTCACCTCGCTCTCTGTCCTGACCCAGCGTTGTAATTGGCCCATGATCCCAAACACAGTCTGTGCTGCTAATTGTGCCATATTGCCTACAGTTAGATCACCATCTCCAGACGCAGCATGTACCATCACAGCCTTCAACTCGGCAACCACACCCTGAACAGATGAAATGCATGATGTGCGTATGTCCATAGAAATATAGTGAGCTGTAAGTGTATTTGGCACGTAATCCACACACACACTAATGAGGAAATACAATGGTCGCAGTTACACACACACGCACACGCCGCACAAACACACACACACGCGCACACACACACGCACACGCACACACACACGCACACGCGCACACACACACATACACACATACAC